AATATTTACAACTTAATCATCACTATTTTTATTTCTTTGTAACAATACTTGTATACGGCACTTGTTATTATAAAAGAGGAACATAACATTAGATGATTGAATAATTAAACTTTTCTCATATTTAACGAGTTATGTCCGCGTGAGTGTAAACGCATAGGCGATCGTTGAGAAATGATAAAATATTTATTGATAGTAAACAGTTACAGACCATAAATTGAAAATTGTAATTGTAATAGAGAAAATATTGACTTTTCCCTCATGCGAACTTTTACCTGGGGCTACATATGCCTGGATTTCATTCATGATTCATCACTGGTTCATACTGTTCATAGAACCTATACCATATAAATATAGGTAATATCATTATTATTAGCTGCRTCAAAAACATAGAGATCCAGKGATATTCATTGGAAACGAAAATACAATTTAAAAATACAAATATCTTGTGTTTATTTCRAATAATGAAAATTTGCGGAAAACGACGTTCGCCATAAATCATTATAACTWCTGGTGCAKAGGGTCCTATTYSTWMATATAGCACTATAGTTGGTACTAATGTACTATATATTGCTTATTATTAATATTAATTATGAAGGCATTTTATTTTACGATCTATGGTAGTAATAACTGTGATAATCAATCAAAAATATTGGTAAGTTCAATGCGACGTTGCGCGATTAACGATTAACGTCACGGCTGTAATGATCTATTTTTACGAATCGGACATTGATGCATCATGCATCAAGACTTTGGACTTTGACAGATTTTTATAGCAAAAAAAACCTGTTTTGGTTGTAACTCCCAAAATCCTCCTTCTTTTATGTACCACTTATTATCTTACAGTTTACACTTTATTAGTATTTTAAAATACCACTTAACATATAGTATATTATATAGTATATTTATAGAAAAAACTCCACATTTGAAACAAGGATTTTGTGGAACAAAAGTCCATTGGAACTAGGAACATATGTTTTGTGGAACAAAGTGTAATGACCAGCCAAAGTGTATGATATCAGATATAAATGCTTATCACTCGATATTTGTATAAAATTGATAATGATTCTCAATTTAT